AATGATGAAGGTCGTCAAAATTCGAAAGGCATTATGAGGGAGCTGGTTTAAAGCGAGGCCATAGAGACCACACAGATCGATCAAAGCCTGGCAAATGGGGAAGCGCAAGCCTAGGTCGAAATGGGCACGGAAAAAGGTATAAGAATTGGATGGAGGTTATCATAGGTATCGTCATCACCAGGGGTATAAGCGGCCCCAGAATGACCAATTAGGTCAAAGTCGAGTCGATTAGTACCGAGCATATGTGGAGACTTGGACTTTTTGGGAGAGTAGAGGTGGTCGAAGGAGGGGGCATGCGAGAGGACAAGGGGACAAAATCCTTAGGATCACGGGCGAACAAAGGGATAATATCTTCAGGATCATCCTCGTCCTCGTCGTCTTAACCAATTATTCGACGAGCACGTTCGGTAGGTGAAGAAGGAGGACGGCTGGTGACCTTCTCTTCTGGTTGATTGACCAGATAGGAGGAGGGCGAGATAGCAGTGGTTGTGGGGCTGTCGCTGGTAACGGTAGGTTGAATGATGAAAATAGGCTTGGGTTGGAGAATCACTTGAACGGAATCGCTCGAAAGAGTAGGGGTGGCGGAAGAAGAAGGAGGGGTCATATCCTTCCCCCTGTACCGGTCGTTTTCGTCGAAGTAGTAGAATCTGAAAAAAAAAAAGAAAAAATATTAAGCCAAAACCAGAAAAAGAAAGAGGAAGAAGGGTTGGAGATGGCACAGTGGGAAGAGGAAGGTCAGAAACGCAAGGCTTAAGGAGAAACGAGAAGAGGAAAAGGATGAAATTCAAAACAATCTAACGAAAATACTCCATATAAAGGTTAAAGAGACTTACTCATGATGAATGATGTAGCATTTGCTGAGAAGACGAGGAATTCAGTGATTGCCGGATGCTCGAAAAGTACGAAGAAGCTCTGTGTTGCAGTAGAATGCGAAAGTGAGGAAAGGGAAAATTTCTCTAAGTGTCGATATTTATAGGGAAGAAGAATGAACACAAAGAACTATCCAACGTTGGATTACAAAATATCAAGGGACGCGATGGGAAGACAAGTGAACATGCAGAAGAATACCATCTGTACGATTAGAGTTGTTAGTCAAATGGTTGTAATGGAAGAGGGCTTTAAAAACGGCACAGAGTACGAAAAAGTGCGGGTCACGAGGCAATGATGACGCCTGACAGGCGAAGAGACGCGTCTGAAAAAGGCAGACATGTGGCGAAATTTAAATTTTGAAAAGGCAAAATGGCGGTTATAGCTACAAATGGTCGAGGAAAGGCCGAAAGTGCGGAAGCTGGTCGAAACAAGCAGAGCAGAGTTCGACGACATGGACAAAGTCTACTCTTAGTGGTGGGGGACTAGATGATACGGGACATTATATACTGGACCGGTTCGAACTGGACCGGACATCCGTAACAAAGGAGAGAAAGTAGATGACAAAGAGGAGCGGGTTCAGTAGTATCAGACAAGCACTGGCTGCTCGAGGATCTAGTCAAGGAAATATGGTCAGATAGGTGTGGTCGCGGAATCGACCACTTCGCACCTTAGAGACAACTCAGCAACTACTTCAGACTTGGTCGAATAGCGGAATATATGAGGAAATCCCCAACACGTGGAAAGGGGACACGCGGCGCATGATGAGTGGTCTGAAGTGGTAACGGTTTCTGACATTCCCTGACACATTATGACGCGTTTTCTGGCACCCAGATAGTGCAGGCGCGCAATTGTACGAACGAGCAGAAAGACTATCAGCTTGACTCGCCCAAGTCACGCGTGGAGAACAGGTAACTCGTCCCTATAAATAGGGACGAGAACTCTTATTTTACAGACAATCTCTCATACTTTCACATACTTACACATATATTTTTATCTTCTCAAGGCTGACTTGAGCGTTGGAGGCTCTTCACCGGAAAACCCCTCCGGTGAGAGAGTTTTGTTGCAGGTTTTGACGTTCTACCGATGAGGAAGGCGAGTTCGAGGCGGTTCTCGGTCGGTTGGACGTTACACTTGTATTAATATTTTTTATTTTGGCACCAGAATAGGTAACTCCCACAAGGTACTTCAGATCTTTTGCATTATTTCTTCGTTATGGCTTGAACTGGTAAACTCTTTCTGCTTGCTCAAATAGTTGTTGAAAATGGTGGTATAATCTTCCTGAATATCACTTTTTTGCTACCATGCCAAGTGAGTCTATCTCTGGATCCTAGCCCCTTGGTTGGAATTTCCAGGATTAGCCCTGTATCAAAGGGATGAAAAGTTTTGCAACACACACTTGTCCCACACCCTTTGGCCTTTTATCATAACCAATCACCAACTCCAGCCTCAGTCTATCTCCCTGAAAAACACACTTAGTTTAAAATCAGAACTATTTGGCACCCAAGGAGAATTCTAAATCTTGATAGATCTACCATCCCCAACCTCAAACCCAGCCCCAATTTAAAAGCCTCCCTAGCCCCTACACAACTCCTCCAAAGCCAAGAATCATACACCTTAGGTTTTGAATCCATTATCTTTCATATACCTCCTTTTGATCACTCTGCTAACCAACAAATGAGGCTTAGTGATTACCCTCCACACTTGTTTCACTAATAAGGCCGATCTCTGAACCCCAGCCCCCCTGATCTTTAAGTTTGGCCAAAAACTCCCACCTAGCCCAGTGAACCCTTTTTCCCCCACTCTCACTTTTCCCCCATCAGATCTCTCTACACATACTAGAAATTATTGACAAAGGCACCTTGGAGCAAGACATTACAAAAGTTGGGATTGTAGTGAGAGTTGACTTAAATAAATGTTTCTTTGATTGCTTCACTCAAAAACACATTCTTCCAATTCTCAAGTTTTTTTAACTCTCTCAATAAGGAACTGAAACACCTCTCTATTGGATTTTCCAATCCCCGGTAGAAGAACTAGATACCTAGAAGAGGAAACTTTAGAAATCCCATTAAACATGAAAAAAAAATCAGACTGTCTATCCAAAGGAGTGTTTTTAGAGAGAAAAAAAATTAAAGATTTACCAAAATTAACCAACTGCCCTGAATCATTCCCATAATCATTAAGAATTTTTAGCACAATGCCAACATGATTCCAACCAGCTTTAGAGAAAATAATGGAATCATCAACAAAAAGCATATGAGAGATGATATGAGCTCTACACCCTAGTTTAAAACCTTTATAGACTCCACTAAAGCTGGCTTGCTTGATTAAATTAGAGAAACCCTAAGAAATTAGAATAAAAATATAGGAGAGAGTGGGTCTCCCTGTTTAAAACCTCTAGAAGGTCTTAAAAAACCAAGAAACTAACCATGGACATTAAAAAGAAAAGGATGTAGAGCACACACACAAGCAATCAACTAGTCTATAATCCTTCACAAAACCCCATTTTTTATGCAGATTCTAGCCAAGAAAGACCATTCAACCCTGTCATATGCCTTTTCCGTATCAAGTTTAGTAGCCATCAAATAGTTTTTACCTTTTCTTTTGTTGTTTAGGAAGTGGATACATTCATTGGCAATTACAATGTTATCAGTTATCTGCCTATCAGGAATAAAAGCAGCTTGAAAATGAGAGGTGCAAGCAGGCAAAATAACTTTTATCCTATTTGCAAGACTTGTGGCAATCACTTTATAAGTCACAAAGCAGAGGTTTATGAGATCACAACAAATGAACCCACCTAAGAGAGACAAGAAATCTATCAAGTTTTTTTCTTCCACCAACACTTCATTAACTCCAGAGCTCATCAAATTAACATCCAAGAGAAACTTGCATAAGGCATACCACCACATTAAATTATGAGACCACAACAAATAAGCTAAACTGAAGACTGCTAAAGGATAAGCAAACCATTGCCAATTTTTTGTTGTCTTAAAAGAAGAGCAAAAGCCAAAAACAATCTCCAGGCATGCACAAAACAGACCCAGCAAGGAATCGCCAACATCCTTAAGTCGTCACCTACGATCAACCGTTGGATCTCGATACCTGGAGGTATTAACACCTAGAGAATGTACATTCTAAGAATATGGACAAAATCCAATAACAAAGAATGTATAGTTTCAAGTTTTCCACAAAAAAACGAAGCAAAAACAACCTTCAGTTTTTGTACATGACCCCAACAAAANAAAAAAAAAAAAAAAGGCAACTGTTTTCACGCATTTGTGATCGCCTTGTGAAGAACTGATGTGCCCTGGAATATCATCATTTGGTACTTCTTCTGGTATTCTTCCAACTGCTCAGGGACAAAGGGATGAAAGAAAACAAGAATTTAAGGATACAATAGTTAATAATTACTTGACTAGAAAGTGTGCACAACACTATGAGAGAGAGAGAGAGAGAGAGAGAGAGAGAGAGAGAGAGAGACTGCTAACAACCTCTTCTTCGCCAAGTTTTGCAAAGCCAAATCTATTGGTCCACAAAGATTCTGCCTCATCGGCAGCAGCCAGCACCAAACCTTTTACACCGAGGGATGCCAAAAGCCTCTCAAGGCAGAAATACAGAGACTGAAAATAACCCTGCAAAAGGAGAAATGGTTTGTATTACATACGATCAACACTCCAAAAAAGTCTACGATTTGTATCCTAATCAGTTTCCCGTTGAGCAGGCCCCACCTTCCCTTGGTACTCGCTCTTTGTTGCCACAAGAGGAAGCTCAGCAATTTCTTCACCAAATATTCGGACAATCCCAGCAGACACCACAACCGAACTGTCAACAATATGGCAAAGCTCAAACAAGCTAAATATCGTGCATTTATTTAACTTGAGAGTGGTGTATCTTTTTAACGCACCCAACCATCAGCATGGCACAATACATTCCACAGAAATCCTGGTCCTTGAAAGCCCTCCTGCAGATCAGATCAATCAGCAATAAGCTGACACGTCAAGAAACAGAGAACAGAAGCATAAACAATACATGTAAGATAAGTTCAACTATTACCCGTAAACCATGTGAGGAATGAGGTCAAGACGGCCCGTGCTTGAATCAGCAATTGGATCGAAACGGTCCTGGAGATATTTGCTCAACCGAAATCAAACATCAGAAAACTTTCTCGAGCGCAAGTACCAAAATCAGGAGGTTAAAGATTTATGCAATTAAAGTTGATGGAAATTATAATTTAATTTGGTGCTGAAATTTGTAAACTCATAGCACATGTAATTTTGTTTGCTCAGCTGGCCAATTTGGTAAGATGGAGAGAACATTGTTGCTTACATCATCAATAAGTTTCTTTCAAATAGCTAAAAATATGACCAATAGAACATCAAAAAAGAAGGGAAGACTTACATGGAATATAGAAACAGCACCAGAGAGCCACACCCTTGTGTCCTCAGAAGCTTTTTTCCCGTTCAGCAGCCTCCACCGGATGACAGACTCAACATCTTGTGATGGACCTTTTTCATCGACATCTTGTGATGGACCTTTTTCATCGACATCTTGTGATGAACCTTTTGCATCGATATCTTGTGATGGACCTTTTGCATCAATATCTTGTGATGGGTCTTTTGCATCAATATCTTGTGATGGGTCTTTTGCATCAATATCTTGTGATGGACCTTTTGCGTCAATATCTTGTGATGGAATTTGGGTTTCAATTTTCCCTCTCAAAATATTCAAAAGATCTTCCGGAAGACTCTGTTCCCCAGCACCGATAAAATTCTGAAGAGCCACATGAATAGTGCTGCACCGTTCAGAACAAAACCACTCACCTTCCGGCAACTCCTGCAGTTAACACACCACCATTATTAGTTTTAAAAAAGGGTTTTAATCCGATTTTGAGTTGAGTATGGAAGAACAGAGAACCGCAATTGTTAGTGATAAAGTAATACATACATCCAAGTCAGCAATCCCCTGCTCCTTCAGGCAGCTGATATGATACTCTTTCTCGCACTACAAAATAAATAATAAAACAAATTCAGACATAGTATAGCATGCTTCAAAAAAAAATAAAAAAAAAAATAAAACAAAACAAAAGAAAACTAAGCATTTGAAAATTCTTGGAACCTCTTTCAGAAAATAAGTGTAACCAATTACTACCTGATCGCAGATAATAACCGTGCGGTCATTAAACTCTGACTTGCTGAAGTCGTGCCCCCTGCAACAAAGTTAACACAAGTAAATAAATAAATAAACAATGTCTAAAGCACAAAGTGAACGGAAAGATAATGAAAAGGAGAAACTGCATTTGTGATATTCAATAAAGCAAAATGAAACACAAATCAACAAGGCACGCATTCCAAGTTTAAGTTAACGATATTCATTATCACTCAAAAAATCTGCTCTGCTGAAACATGTTTCTCCTGCTTTATTGATTTATTCAGAAAAAAAAAGGGAATATTTGCATACAAGAACAAAAGATTCATAAAGAACACCCACACGCTTCAACTGAAAGCCAAATACACATTGATTGATGCACGATATCAAAGAAACATGTTGATATACACAAACCTGCATATGGCACATCCGCCTACATCTTTTTCAAACGATGGCACTATGCGAATGCACCGTTGGGTTATTTCTGCAAGAGGGTCCGCTCCAGGCACTCTGCCAGCTGCAATGGCATTTGCATTCCTCTCAGCAAATTTTTCTCTTTCAAACATGTTCTTGCAATATTTGCAATACCAAGTTCCTTCTGGGAGGCTTGACAGGCCAACACACACTGCAAGAGAAGAGAGAGAGCAAAATAAGCAATGTACGAAGTGAGGTAGAGGATAAAATACTAATGATATAAAGGTATACAATCAGGCAACATGTCGGGTTCATATACATAATAAATCTTAGAGGAATAAAATAAAATCTTGCGACAAGGTGGAGGAGAGGCATTTTGTTGAAAGAACCGTAACAACGATCAGGGGTTCTAACTTGTAGGGAGGATTCATAAGCAAACATTTCGTTTGCATAAAAGCTTTACACAACTGCAGTTACTCTTATTCTATCAAAACATAACATCCTATGACAATTTCTACGTCACAATGTTCTCACCAGTGTGAAAAGCACGGGGACATTTGTCACAGCATAACAGATCCCCTCCATCCTCACAAATAGAACAGAGATCATCATTTTCCTCTGAAGACGATTTACCATTTTTGGATAGTTCAAGGGATAACTGATGTAGAGACACTCCATTAGAAGTGTATATGCTCATGTACCTGCAAAAACCAGCAGACTGAGTCAAAGAAAACGAAACCACAAATATGCTTGTTGAACTCTTTCTAGTAAATGTCCAAAAGCCTCAAGCTCATGTGCTCATGTACTAAGTTATACACATATTGGCCAAGTCATGAGGATTATGTTTATGTGGTAGAGAAAATACAAATGCCTAAGATGCACTGTTATCTACGGCGGAGGGCAGAAATGGCGGCAGAACTGAAATCCCGCCACAGACGCCGCCATAACTGCTATCCTTCACAAACTCTAATGGTGGTAAGGTAGAAAACCTCCACGCCAAATCGTCATGATGGTAAGACTGTTAAGATGTAAATAAAAAATAAGGAAACTGAATAGTAAGGAAAGAGCAAAAAATACTCACGGCTTTCTACGGGAAGCGAATCCAGCATGAGCCTCAAATTGTGAGGGGCTCACCTATTCATAAATAGCGAAGTCAGAAAAAATTAATAATAATAATAATAATAATAATAATAATAATAATAATAATAATAATAATAATAATAATAATAATAATAATAATAATAATCATAATCAATACAACCTGCGGATATATAAGACAAAAAATAAATCAAAAACTACCATAACCACAACCCCATACCAATCTATTGCAACATGTACAGAAGATAGCACCGTCTTTCTTATAACCTTCAAGCCTTCTCTGCTCCATAAAAATAATGTAATTGAATGTTAGCAACCATATCAACCGAAACAAAGAAAAGCAGAACTACCTTTACCATCTCCATAAGCAATTACGAGAATATTTAACAGCAGGAGATGCACAAACAGAGTAACTATTTGCATTCACCTTTCCATGCATGACATACGACAAAGTAGTACCATCAGGAAGCAAATCTTCCATTAAGACAGATTTATGCATTTTCAAATCCCTGGAGAAGGGAAAACAAGAATAAGGTTCATGCTATAAACAGCTAAAACCAAGTTGGCCTGAAAGATGACCCGGAAATTGTGAAGTTAAAGAATACACCATATAATAATGTCAATGTGAAGAAAACTCACTTTCGTGTTAGCTTCCCTTGACGTTTGCTTTGAGGTTGTTTATGTGAAGAAATTCGAGCACTTTCTGGAACTTCAGGCTGGGAAACAGAGACTACCGGTGGTGATGACCCAACCAACGGGGACCTAAAATGCTCATCATTTACCCGGCCACTTCAATAAGTGCACATTTGAGAAAGACAAAGAACATGTTTAATAGCACAGGTTCAGTGCATTGGATCCTAACAGCTAAGGAGAATAAAGAATATTTATTATTCAATAGCCTACGTGTCGTGTATTTCATTCAACCAAACTTCTGACTTTTGTACAAATTCTAAGAGGCTGCATGTTATTTATTTGTCCATACGATCAACAAGGAAATTAAAAGCATAACTGCATGACAAAAAGGCAGCAAACTGGGGTATACACATCTTAAATTTATTTCCTCCACTGCAATTCGTTCCACGGAAGATGTCTTATTTTGTTGTATAAATATAACCACACTGTGCACAACACAATTCCTATAGCTGTGTTTCTTACCTATTACCATTAGCTCTTATTTTAAATCATTAGTTCTGAGATAAAAATGTAAAGGGGAAATGTAGAAATTTTACAAGTCTCAAGATATTTAACATATGGTAACACGGTCACCTCCGAACTGCAAAATAAATGTTAAGGTTACGTGCAATGATGTGTAGAGCTATTACATGTAAAAGAAACAGTCAGTATATCAAAGATATTTCCATGAATAAAGCAAACACAGCTAACTACATTACCTATGGGTGACTTCACTGCTCTGGATGTGTCCTGGATCAGAATCCTTAGGTAGAACACAAGAATCACACAGAAGCATTGGTCTTCCAGCACCAGTTTCAGGAATCAACCCTGGAAGCATAAACAAGAAAACATTGAGAAAAATGTTCTAAACCCATCCCAACACAATGCGAACGCATGACTTATCAAAAAATTGATATGAATACCACCTTTACAGTTGATACAGAAAGCAGTTGTAAAATCCGAACGGCCAATGGCGTTCTGAATCACCAATGCCAATGATTCTGATTGATTGGCCTTGCATGCATTCAGAACGTCTCTCAAGCTCTTCCCATTTTCCAAATATATATATTCAGGCGGGCGCTTATTTGCACTATTTGCATGCATCTCAAATACATTAGGCGTCACAACCTACATCAACAACAGCCAAAGGTAAGTAGCATAGAATCACAGGAAAAAGGAACTGATACCCAGTAGTAAGGTTCAGATCCTATACCTCTTTCCCCTTGCATTCACCACATTTACATAATATCCCCCCTGCATTAATAACTCCCTGAAGTTCTGTGTCAGGCTGCCTCCTCCTCTACAATTTCCAAAGGAGAGGAACAAAAATGAAATATATGAAAAACAGTAAAACACAAAGCTAAGGAACAAATGGAAAAATTCCCAACCTTAGAGCCATTGATGTATCTAACACTGAGACCCTCCAAGAGTCCAGTCTCTAGAAGATCCTTCAACCTTAAAGGCACCTTCCTCAGCTCGACCTTCTTCGACATCTTCATTTCGCGTTTACACGGGCTATCTGTCGAATTTGTTGCGCTTCTACTCTCTCTAGTTGGTGCCTCAAGAAAAGACTCCTCATGTTGCTGTTTCGAATCCCGAGTGTGCCTCCTCAGTGGTTTTTCTTCTGTCCTGCGTGTAGCCTCTCCAAATACCTCACATCCTAAATCAGAGACTCCTTCAATTGTTTTTTCGCCTTCATGAGTGAATTCTATATCACAAACTCCACCCTGAGACAATGGTAACTCTATGCGCGACAGCTGGGGGCCCACAGCTTCCTTAGAATCCACCCCCACTTTAGTCTCTGCCTCACTACTCCCCACAGCATCTAACTCTGCCTCTAAACTTCTTGAATCATTTCCTAAATTAGACTGTGCCTGTACTACATCTCCCATTGGCACTTCTACAGTATCCAAATTTTTGCCATTCTCCAACATCCTCACGTCCTCTTCTTCCCTAGACTTGGGCTGCAATTCCTGTGTCACGGTCCCATCTACATCAATGAATTCCGGCTCCAAATTTCTCGATTCACACCCTACAGTGGACCCTACCTGTGCTACATCCTTCTCAGACTCTTCTTTGTTGCTACCTGAGACATCAATGTTCTTCAACTCATCCACATCCTCCTCTTCTGGTCCTTTTTTGTCTTTCTTCATTTTCTTAGGAACAGATCCCTTCATTTTCTTGTTTATCACCATACCACTGCTCCTTGTGTTTGCTCGCCTGGAACCACTGGCGCTTAGCGACCTGGTCACTCTCCCACCTTCTCTTGAAGACCTAATCAATTCCCCCTGGGCCTTCATCATCATGTTATACTCTCTCTTCAGACCAGGTTTGATGGAGGGTACCACTATTTCTCCCGGATCCATGTCCTAAAAAAACAAATAATTAAAAAATATTAAACGGGGGAAGAAATGGAAATAAAAAGTAAAGATATGCAGTCCAAATATTAAACATCATACGCCAATGAAACAATCCAGATCATGAGATTTAATTTGGGCGCTTTATCATTTTTTTGTATCTGAATTTCTAGATCTACATACAGACATGATTGAGACAGAATAAAAACAAATGTGCTCTTATGCATGTCTTTCACAATTGTGCAAAGCGATTCAAACACAAAATTACGAAATGGAAATAATCAGAAAGGAAATAAGACCAGAAGTTATGGTTTTGATTTCAGATCTTATAGACATCAACTTAACTTGAATTTGAATGTATATGATTGAAACTATAGTCGAGTAACTTACAGTTGACTGCATAGGGAATCGGCAACAATTGAAAAGTTAATCGATATCAGAAAGGAAAAGATCTGAGATTTGTAAATCTTCAGCAAAAAATAAGGGTTTGCGGCTTTCGATGTTTCTTAGGGAAATATGAGAGTTACTCAGCATGCATTGCCTCGCTAGGTTCTATATAGGAAAATTTCAATCCACGTCAGCCCAAGACACATCAACGAGAAACTTGGACACATAATGAGTCATCCCCAAACCAATTTTGTGAATTTCCAACTATTTTGAAATTGAAAATATTTGTTTAGTGAATTCTTACTGGAAGCTGGATATTTCAAGTTCACTTTTTCATGGAAATTGAAAATAAGACAGATTTGGTGGTCCTACCGGAACGGAGGACTGTCCCCACTCCCCACTAAACCCAACAAATATCATTCATTTCACCCTATATTCACACTCACGCATGCCAGACACTTCTCAAGATTCGATTTTTCCCAAGACAAGCATGCCTATGGGTATTCCAAATCAAGGGTAAAACATTTTTTTTGCAACCTGTACTATAGGTGTTTATTTTTTTTTTTTAACTTTGCAGCTTATAGTATTTTATTGGTAAAGGTTGCAAAGTGCAAAAACATGTATATATAGTACATGTTGCAAAAATGTTTTACCCTCCAAATCAATCCTTATAAACACTATCTCGTCCCCACCCAATTTTAAGCCCCTACAGGCAAGATACTCAAACTAGCCAAACAACCCTTAAGAAATTTCCATCACAATTGCCAAATTTATACAAAAATACAATTTACAAACTATTATCAAACATTTTAATAAATTCACGCATATCTACGTAAATAATGGATGTCCAGATAACTTGCCAAACATAATTTCATTTCCAAACATGAAAAATCAAAAAAACTTGCCAAACATATCTTCATTTATCACATGAAAGCCAATGACATCTCAAAGTTCTTTTTCAACAATATAAATAGGAAATTCTAATGAAACATTTCTATATATCACCTCGATTATGTGCAATAGACCCCTAGATCTAGCAAGGGTAATATCTTTCATGCAATTTTAAATTTTTCTACGAACTTAGGGCTAATTCTAAGAATTGAAGAAAAATATAGGACAAATTCGCCAATGAAAATTCAAAAATAAACTTTGACACAGTTTTACTGTTAGTTTGTTACGTCACTAAAGTTGCAACCGACCGACATTACTCCTATGCCAATGGATTGTTTGACTCTGTGAAATGTCTTTTTGCTTAAAAAAAAAATTCAATTACCTAAAAAATCAATATAGTTTAGTAATGTTAACTTCAAATAACCCATGTTAAACTCTGACAGAAATGCAAGAATGGAAGGATATCAATCTTAGAATAATTTCTGTTGATTTTTGGGGACCTTAATCAGTGATTAATCGTATGAATTTTGACTTATTTATTATTCCTCATATGTTATTATTCTTTTATCCCTTGTATTTCTTATTACCATTTTATATTAACTAAAATTTAGTATAAGATAAGGTTCTCAATATGATATTACAGAGAGATTTATGTTGCAATAGCATTGGTTATTGGGCAAGTTATTCTTGGGCAGAAATCTGGAGAAGTATTGTACTCATTGTCCATCTTTATGGGTATGAATGAAAGATCTTTCTGCAAGACTATTTTTGTTCCCCCTGAATAAACTACACCAAATTCCATTTTTCTATTCAAACACATTTGTATCACATTTCAATTTATGTAGAACTATTTGAATATACAAGCACGGGTTTGATTCGTATACAAGATGAGGCAAGCCTAAGATCTACTACTTCTATGGGGAGCTGAAAGTCCATATTTGCAAACCTAGGCTTGAAATTCACACAGTTGCCATCCACCTAACTGCTCTAAGTTACACGAAACCATTCAGATAAAATCACCACTTTTTGTCCATTCCCTGCATTGGTTCAACATACTCTATCCAACTAGACTTAACATTCTTTTTGCATTACACACATACAAAACTTTGTAAGTACTTTAGATGTAATAATTTTTTAGCTGGTCATGGAGGTGCTATGTGACCAGCTCTTGAGGAAAAGATAATAAAAGGTATGAAAAATGAGAACAATTTTTGCCTAACAAAACAAAAGTCAAATAAATAAATACAAGTAACACATAACAAAGAAGTTAAAAATTGAACAAGTTGCTTACTTTGGAGTTGCGACTACCTCGGCTCTTGACTGCAACCATTAGTATGTCTACAACCACAAAAACAAACCTGTACAGATAATAATTAATTCTATTAATCAATACCTGCAGAACTTGGAAGATATCATCATGTACTATAAACACAAAATGATAATGATAGGCTATAAATTTGCAAATACAAAGCATCACTATTTTAGGTTCACACCTGTTCAAGTAGAAAACCTAATATTGTGTTCCGGAAAAGAACCTATAGCTAAAGTAAGCACCAAGTCTTGCAAAAAGGAAAAAGTAAATCAGATGAAGTTTCTATGCAGATTGATCTCTTTTTTGTAAATAATGTCTGAATAGTGAGATGAGTCACATTCTTTTCTAATCCATTTTGAAATGAATGCAGATATTAACAAATGTTATCTCCAAACAGAATAAAATATTTCTTTATTATGTATTTGTTTATCTTAAACAAAATAAACCTCTCGGTGTTTGTTAAGCATAGTAAGGTTGCATAGTACACAAAGGTGTGTAAGATCCTTAAAAGTAAAGGATGTTCCTCATTTAATTTCCACGCCCTGAATCTCGACTTGGCAATGATGAATCAATAATTGAATGATACAATAGCTATGCCAATTGGTAATTCTCATCCAGTTACAATCTCAACGTTAGACAACACCTTACCTACAAATTTCTCAGACAAGCTTAAAGAAATACACTACGAAACTATTTACATAAACGGCAACAATGCCTGACTTCATCCCACAAAAGATTTTTGTAATATGCTACATTTACATCAAACAACTCCAACAAATTGAGTACAGCAGTATTCCATTTTTGTTTACACTGTAACAACACTTGTAAAGATAATTACGAGGTTTTCAATTCAATTGTGATAACAATATTTTTCTATCTCGGATATCCTTCATGATGTCATTATTTTCCTTCATTTTAGATGTAACTGACAAAGCTAGAATAGGGCATGTTCAACTACACAAATATATGATGGTCAAGAGATTTACACCACTTATAACCATATTTTCAGTTACCTTCAACCAAAATACCGACTCTAATGTAGAGTATACAGCATCATTACATAACTCAATTTCATTGTCAATCCAACATCTTTTTCCAGGACTTGACGTCCATAGTTATACCACAATCCATCCTCCCTACAAATCCCAAATAAATGCATGCGCTAGCAGCACCGCAGCCCAAAGAATAAATATCCAGAATAAATGCGGATTTATGGACTTAAGATGTATGGCATTAATAGACAATAACAACAACAACATACCCAGTATATTCCCAACTGGTTGGGGTCTGGGGGGTCAGTTGTACCTTACCCTTGTAATTATACAAGGAGGCTGTTTCCGTAGCGACCCAAGGTGCATTGTGTCGTTTGATATATAGAAACTTAACTAATAGAAGAAGCACTAGAATTTAATTGAGCCATTTTGATCTAGTCCATTATTAGCACTATGCCAGGAGAATTGTCAACAATGACTCTTCCAGCTCCATTTGCAAAGAGCAATTAACTTGCAAAGAGCAATTAACAGGCCACTCATCTTTCCACTTTGAATCTCATTCCATAAGAAGTCCTAACACAATTACCTTTGTTCCCCCTGCTAAGCTGACTGCAGTTAAGTTGTGCGGCTACACTAAATTAAACAATTTGAAGTCGAGATTCTATAGATTCTACTAAGGGAGGTACTAGATTAAAAAATGTGGCGAATATATCCTTTAAGCGTTGTCCATAACTGCACATTAAAATAGAATTAACAAAATGGAGTAAGCATTTACACAAGTCTCAAATGAAGCGTTTAGTTTGTACAAAAACCTAAGGGACTAAGTACACTTCCCTTCCTAGAAGCAAACATATCCTGAATGATTAGCATATCAAATATCTAATAAGTTACAAACTCTTGAAAAAGAGATCCCCTTATAAGCATAAATATAAAAATAGCACACTCATTAAGGAAACCAGCATGCTAATAAATCATACTACTAAATAGCAAATCCCATGCTCCAACTGTAACATCCTTTATATTTGAAAAGAACACAACAAATAAAAAAAGAACGACTGTCAGGTATGTGGATAGAGACGAAGGCGGAATCTATATGTCCTTCTTTCTTGATGCACCATAAAAAAAAATAGAGTTTTTCCATTTGTTTTCATAACATTAAACCCAAAACAAAATCCCTAGTGCAGGATTTTCTACCTCAATCAAAATATACACCCATATAAAATAGAACCCTTGAAACCAAGCTACTAGTTTTTGAAGACGATAAACATAATTGACAATGACATGAGGCTCGAAACGTCCTAAAAATCAAGCAAACAGCACCAATGGAAATTCTGGAGGAAATCCAAGAATATACTTTGTTCAGTTGTCTGTTCCTTTCAAGCCCTATTAGTCATTCAAAATTATACTATTATCATCCGTGAACAAATTAACAAGGTTTCAACAACAAGTTTCATAAACACTCCAGTTAACCTAAGCTACTCTCGGCTTTGGGCAACAAACTCCATTCATTTTCAAGAACATACATAAATAACATAACCCACTTCGAAATATAGAGCTTTATCAGCCACGTTAAGCATAAAGCTTGCACTTTGGCAACTTAATCCTAGTTTTTTTCAAGAAAAAAATTCGCTTTTTATCCAACAACTAAACCCATGTTCTTAAAATCAGAAAATCTGGCACCTACCTCGACAATCCTAGGTCACGATTATCGACAGATACAACAAGTTGGAGTTATCGATCTTGTCCGTTCTCGACCGTGGCTCACGGCTGCCTCGCGGACAGACGGCAATCGGCGACCGGAAAACCAGTCCCGTGGCCGAAATCTGAACGAAAACGCGACGGAATTTGGACGAAAAAGGAAGCTTGGGGATTGGAAACTGAAGAAAATACCAGAAAGGACGAGAAAAATACACGGAGATTGATTTATAACCAGGAACTTCACGCGTTCCCAAGGATAATGCGGAGAGGAAGAGGCGATTTGCTCAGAGTTTTTTGGGGAAAATAGACTCTGAGGAGTCATGTTTCAAATTTTTGTTTTTTAAAGGGGAAAATTATAAAAATAAAAATGGAAATCACATTTCTAAATTCAAGCTATATATACATTGTACACACAAGTTTGCATTTCGTATGGGTATATTTACAATTGCAAATAAAATGACTAGTACGTCATCCCGTTCAATTCACCGGTAAATAATATTAAATAAAATTTATGAATTAAAATGAAGATAAACTATACTAATGAATAATTATAAATTAAAAATGTAGGTAAGTAGTATTCACATCAAATCGATTAAATGAATAAAAATATATATACATATATATAGTGGAGGAACCAATGAGTTTAACTCCTTAAAATGAGTCCACTCCTTAAAATGAGTCCTCTCCTTAAAATATATATTAATTAAATAATAAAATTATTATTAGTTGACTCCGGCGTTGACCGTTGACTTCCGTCGTTGACCGTTGACTTCCGGCGAAAAATCGTTGACTTTCGACGTTGGTCATTGACTTCCGACGTTTTGACTTCCGTCGTTGACCCCTAGTATGCATTATATATATGAAGTAAATATGCATCCAGTACCATGCATTCAATATGAACTAAATATGCATCGGATATGAATTGTACATGCAGTCCTTATGAACTAAATATGCACCAATAATATCAACTAAGTATGCACATGTTATGAACTAAATATGCATCTGTTATGAACTAAATATGCTCATGAATGAACTAAATATGCACCGAAAAATATGCAATAAAATGTGCATTTTATATAGGTAATTTATTATGCATATTTAGTTAATTTATTATGAATATTTAGGTAATTTATGATGCATATTTAGTTAATACGAAATGCATACTTGTTATATTTAAATTAAATATATAATAATATTTATATAATTAAATTATTATGCATATTTACTTAATTCATGATACATATTTAGTTCTTACGAAATGCATATTTAGTTCATGAACAGTGCAT